ATTGCATCTTTCACTCAACAATATTTAAATTCAGTAAAAAAATCCATATATTATTGGTTTTTAGTTACGTTTGAAACATTATAAGATTGAACTTACACTATCTGATGGTTGTTCCAGAGGACGGAATAGGTGTGGTAGTCCTCAGTTGGATCAAACCATAGCATATGCCTCATCTCACGCCCACCAGTCCCATTCTTGTACACGTTTGTCTGAATCAAATAAGGCTCCCCAGTTCTGTTTCCCAGAAACTCAAAATCAAGCTCATCTCTTTCTGGCCCTGCACCGTTTTCTGAGCACATCTGCAACAGTTACCCACTCGTGAATAACACTTGGATAGAGTATTGATATTATTCTCTGGTCACAGAATTGATGTTTTTATTCAATAATTTGTATAATGAAGATCTTTTTCAAAGATTGATACAAGTTACTCAGATGATACTTTAGTTAGTTCTAATCAGTAAACAATTGTAAAAACAACTTGGCCGCTAACTTTTGTCTATAATGCCTTGTACACTTACATAATATGCTGTCACAACACCGGCAGAGTCACCTGCGACCAGCTTCAGCTTCATACTGAACCACCCAAATCTGTAGCGCTGTTTTGTTTGAAATCCACATCCTGTCAAACATTGAATGCTTGAGAAACAGCTCAAATATCAAATTTGATGCTAACAGTTCGAATTCTCCTCATCAAATCATAGTATATACAATGCAGGTTGAACAGAGTGCATATTTCAAGGTCATGCATTTGGTACCTGTATCTTTGTCTAGGGAGAGATACCAGATCTGTCCATCTTTAGAGGTAGTAAAATGGTCCTCAGACCACATTATGCTGAAATTATCCTCGAAAGATCCCTTGGACACAGCTGCTTCTGATGAATGAAAATGAGCAACAACGATTGCTGCAAGGAAAATTATCATGGACACTGAAAAACAGGTCCTTGAATCCATTCTGAGTGAGAAGAGAATACGGACAATCAGAAGAGAGGGTTTCCCAGTTAGATCTCAAAACCCGAGAAGGGGCACTTCATTCAATGACTGTGACTTTTAAAATGGTTTTTGCACTTCCAGTTGTAACATCATATGCTGTTGTTCTTCCCTGCTTAGATTTATGCTGAGATTTCTTGGTTTGTTTAATTATATCGCATGTGCCAATGTCCAATTGTACAAATTTACCCTTTTTGAATAACAAGATGCCCAGTGTCCTAGATATCTTAACATAAAAATTATAAAGAATTAGTAAGTAGGTATATGATTTGATAGAAATTATGAAAAAGTGTAGTAAACATTAGAATGAAATATATATATATATATATATATATATATATACATTGTCGAGTGAGAAAATAAAATATTGTGAGTGCATTAGTAAAGTGTAAAAGAAATTTGTAGATGAAATTTGAGAAAGAATTGAGGAGGCAGGGGCATATTGGTGAAAAAGAAATAGAAATGTGGGAGTGGGACCTTAGCCAGGCTGCATTTGCAAATTGCAATGTTAGTCTGTGTTGGAGGTAGCTAGCTGTAGAATAATAAAACTCAGTGGGGCCAGGCATTGCATGTAACAACATCTTTCTCAATAATGGAAACAGCCACAACACCGCCACTACCCTTTCCATTCATTTATTATATTTTTACTTTAAACTTTACTTTACGTATTCATGGTCAAATGTAAATCCTTCATCCCTTTTTTCTTTGCAACTATTAGCTTCAATAAATCATTTGATGTGTTTAGTTTATATATTTTTAATCTTTATAATATACTTATAGGCCGTTTTTTAATTTTTTTCCCACGATTATTTCACTTTTTAATCCTTTTTTCACTCATTTTCACAAACTGAACAAAATGTGAGTTTAATATCTCATCACATTAACACAGTTCCATGTTTAGACCAACACCATTATTATAGTTTCCAAGTATCAGAACATCTCTTTATTTTATTTTGATAAGAACATATACATCAGTATTGCCAGACAAATATCAAGAGCTATAATTTTTGTTTCTTTATAAGCAGGCGCAATATTATATATATATATATAATTTTCTTGACACAAACTTACTTTTAGCTTTAAAATAACATGAATTTTAACATCAAAAGACAGTTTGGCCGAGTGGTCTAAGGCGCCAGATTTAGGCTCTGGTCCGAAAGGGCGTGGGTTCAAATCCCACAGCTGTCAATTTTTTTTTCTTTTTTCATATTTTATTGCATCCAAGCCCAATTTAAGAGCCCAATTGTCAGTGTCACTGGATTCATTTCAGATTATTTATTCCTTCACCCCCTGATTTCTCCATGCACCTCCGTTTCATTTATTGCAACTTGGTTTTGATAGACTTAGGTAGGGAAAGTTATATTATTTTGGAAAATGACTCAAAATTTTTTTAACTTGTCTATACCTATTATATATATATGTGTGTTTAATTTCTCTTTTTTCTTTTATCATATTACATGACTTACAAATGTATTACTTTTTCTTTAAATATATATTAGCTTTAAATTGTGTTTACATTGATGTTTGTTTGTGTATTTATTAAAAGAAATTTAGAAATTGTAGAAAAAATAAAAAATATTTTTAAGATTATAATTAAGTTTTGAATAAAATTAACCTTAAAAATAATTTGTGTTTAAACAGTCAATATGTTTATAGAAATATAAATAGTATACTTTATAAAAATACAAATGATAAAACATGCACAAAAATAGAGTAGGCTTTATGAAAGTATAAATGATTTGCATAAATATATAAAGTTGACTTGTTAAAATACAGATGTGTATAAACATACTGATATAATGTGTGTTGTTAGACTCGTTTAATCAATGCATTAATAAACTCTTTCAATATGTATTATTAGACTCGTCTAATCAATATATGGACACACTCGTCCAATATGTATTGTTAGATTCGTCTTATTAATATATGGACTAATTTGTGTAATGTATGTTGCAAGAGTCGTCTAATCATATAATGGATAAAGTCATATAATGTGTATTAATAAATTCATCTAATATTTGAATGAACAAGCTCGTCTAAAATATATTGTTAGACTGGTTTAATCAGTGTACAAACAAACTCGTTTAACGTGTGTTGCAATATTCGTTTAATCAATGTGTGAACATACTTATTTAATATGTATTCTTAAACTTGTATAATCAATATGTAGAATGACTCATCTAATATTTCTTGCTATACTCATTCCATCGATATAGGGCAGACTTGTTTAATGTATATTACTACACCTGTATAATATGTTTTGCTATACTCATTTACTTAATGTATAAAAAGACTCGTCTAATGTGTATTTCAAAATTAATCTAATAAGTGAATAATCAAACTTATCTAACGTATGTGAAAATATTTGTCTAATATATATTGCTAGAATCCTCTAACCAATATATGAATGAATCGTGTAATGTGTATTGTTGGATTCGTTTAATCAATATATCAAACAACTTATCTAATTATTTTTCGATGTAATATACATTATATGTATATTGTTAAACGTGTCTAATCAGTACAATTCATTGGTTGAAGTAGAAAATCTCGTTTCAACAATTTCTGATATTCAAACAAATAACAAAGGAGTCAAAATCATTAGAAAAAGAATAAAAACTCTAAAATGCAGAGTTTTGAGGAGGCTGTGCTTTCTAAATAATGAAAGTAATTAACTGAAAACTTTATTTATTTATACTTATAACTTTTATTATTAAAATAATTTATTCTCAATATTTAAAACACTTCGTTATATATAAAAAATACTATTTTCTATTATAATAAATTAAAATATATTTTTTTATAAACTAACACTTTAGAGAGGGAGAAAATTCATCTTTCAATTTCACATATCAAGATTTTTTTTTCTCATGTTTTAAAACATATTTTATACCCTATTTTCTTTAACACGCTGAGAAGCATTTTCCTCAATCATTTCAAATAATCTTAAAGTTATCTTTACTTATGTATTTCTTGTTGATAGTTTCCATTTTTAATATACCTTTTTAGTCACTAAATTTAAATTGAATGTCAATACTTTTTTAAAAATAGATCTACAGTGCTATATCATAATTAAAAAATTTCTGCTAAAATTTAATGTATATATATTCAAATGAATTTACTTATGATAATTTATTGTAATTGATAATATTTAAAGATACCTGTTATGAGTTTGATGATATAAAATAAATTGTCATGAGGCACATACTAAAATATTTTCTTTTAAAAGTGAGTACTTTCATTACTAATGCAGAACAACAAAGTATCTTTTTAGTCATTAAGTTTAATGTTGGTAGACCCCATACGTTGCATAACTTTAGCTTGTCTAATGGATATTTTACAAGTGTCTCTTCAGGACAATGGGCAGCTACCACTTAATTTTGATTTCGTTTTCTTTCATCGTTCTCACTATTGTTTTTTTCTTCTTCAGGTTATCAGGTTTATTTATTTTTTTATCATTTTTTTCTCCTTTTAGATTTTATTCTGGATTCGCTGATGCTTTATGGTCTAATTTCAAGTATTTATTCTACCTTCTTATATTACTATTTATTTTTTATATATATATATACTTTTTGAAATTGCTAACTAACATATTATTCTAACTTCATCTGTTTACTAGTTAGCTCGAGTGATAAGAAACATAAAAAGAAACCCATTTGTTAAAAAATTGACAATGAAGGAACAAACGCTAAAAGGCATTTGTTAAGCAAAATGTTAAAATAAAATAATAATATACTTATATTGTGATAATAAAATTGTTAAAATATCATGATTCTTTTAGAAAAAAATCAAAGGCATATATGGGGCAGAGGAAGTCCATGAGTGGGACGAGGAAACGCTTTTGGAAATGGTGAAGCAACATGGATTAGTGGCATATAAGTTTAATAAATTGTGAATGAATGAAATTAAAAATAACTTAAATGATTTATAAAGAGAAGACAAGTGATGCAACTGGTTGGTAATGATAAACCATGGATTTTGGTGCTGAAGTCACTTTACATGAAAATATCCCAAACGGAACCTCCTGCGCCTTTCAAATTCTATCTCCTTCCATTAAAAAGCATATAGTTTCTAGATTTTTGAATCAGATATTTCAGCCATGGCCAACCCCATCACTCTTCGTTTTCTTTATAAAGGCCCACTCCACTGCACGGACAAATATCAAGTCTTCAACTTTTCTTCACTATCCATCTAATTCTCATGGCAGCCATGGCAACCACGACCCTAACTTCAAATCCCAAACTCTCATTCTTCGACCACAAGCCCACCTCCTTCCATGGAAAGCCCGTTTCTCAGTCCCGTCTCACACCCACAAAATGCTCCACCAAACAACCCGCAATCTCCATGTCCCTAACTACACCCCCTTACGACTTCCAATCTTTTAAGTTCCAACCCATCAAAGAATCCATCGTCGCACGCGAAATGACGCGCCGATACATGACCGACATGATAACCTACGCCGACACCGACGTCGTGGTCGTGGGGGCGGGCTCCGCGGGCCTCTCCTGCGCGTACGAGCTGAGCAAGAACCCGGCCGTGCAAGTCGCGATAATCGAGCAGTCAGTGAGCCCCGGCGGCGGCGCATGGCTCGGCGGGCAGCTCTTCTCCGCCATGGTGGTGCGCAAGCCCGCCCACCTCTTTCTGGACGAGCTCGGCGTGGCCTACGACGAGCAGGAGGACTACGTGGTGATCAAGCACGCGGCGCTGTTCACCTCCACCATCATGAGCAAGCTCCTGGCACGGCCCAACGTGAAGCTCTTCAACGCCGTGGCGGCGGAGGACTTGATCGTGAAAGAAGGGAGGGTTGCCGGAGTGGTGACGAACTGGGCTCTGGTTTCGATGAACCACGATACGCAGTCCTGCATGGACCCCAATGTGATGGAGGCTAAGGTTGTGGTGAGCTCTTGCGGGCATGATGGACCCTTTGGGGCAACTGGGGTTAAGAGATTGAAGAGTATTGGAATGATTGATAGCGTACCTGGAATGAAGGCCCTGGATATGAACACTGCCGAGGATGCTATTGTGAGACTGACCAGGGAGATTGTGCCTGGCATGATTGTGACTGGTATGGAAGTTGCAGAAATTGATGGTGCCCCAAGAATGGTATGTTAGCCTTATNAAGATGCCCAGTGTCCTAGATATCTTAACATAAAAATTATAAAGAATTAGTAAGTAGGTATATGATTTGATAGAAATTATGAAAAAGTGTAGTAAACATTAGAATGAAATATATATATATATATATATATATATATATACATTGTCGAGTGAGAAAATAAAATATTGTGAGTGCATTAGTAAAGTGTAAAAGAAATTTGTAGATGAAATTTGAGAAAGAATTGAGGAGGCAGGGGCATATTGGTGAAAAAGAAATAGAAATGTGGGAGTGGGACCTTAGCCAGGCTGCATTTGCAAATTGCAATGTTAGTCTGTGTTGGAGGTAGCTAGCTGTAGAATAATAAAACTCAGTGGGGCCAGGCATTGCATGTAACAACATCTTTCTCAATAATGGAAACAGCCACAACACCGCCACTACCCTTTCCATTCATTTATTATATTTTTACTTTAAACTTTACTTTACGTATTCATGGTCAAATGTAAATCCTTCATCCCTTTTTTCTTTGCAACTATTAGCTTCAATAAATCATTTGATGTGTTTAGTTTATATATTTTTAATCTTTATAATATACTTATAGGCCGTTTTTTAATTTTTTTCCCACGATTATTTCACTTTTTAATCCTTTTTTCACTCATTTTCACAAACTGAACAAAATGTGAGTTTAATATCTCATCACATTAACACAGTTCCATGTTTAGACCAACACCATTATTATAGTTTCCAAGTATCAGAACATCTCTTTATTTTATTTTGATAAGAACATATACATCAGTATTGCCAGACAAATATCAAGAGCTATAATTTTTGTTTCTTTATAAGCAGGCGCAATATTATATATATATATATAATTTTCTTGACACAAACTTACTTTTAGCTTTAAAATAACATGAATTTTAACATCAAAAGACAGTTTGGCCGAGTGGTCTAAGGCGCCAGATTTAGGCTCTGGTCCGAAAGGGCGTGGGTTCAAATCCCACAGCTGTCAATTTTTTTTTCTTTTTTCAAATTTTATATTTTATTGCATCCAAGCCCAATTTAAGAGCCCAATTGTCAGTGTCACTGGATTCATTTCAGATTATTTATTCCTTCACCCCCTGATTTCTCCATGCACCTCCGTTTCATTTATTGCAACTTGGTTTTGATAGACTTAGGTAGGGAAAGTTATATTATTTTGGAAAATGACTCAAAATTTTTTTAACTTGTCTATACCTATTATATATATATATGTGTGTGTTTAATTTCTCTTTTTTCTTTTATCATATTACATGACTTACAAATGTATTACTTTTTCTTTAAATATATATTAGCTTTAAATTGTGTTTACATTGATGTTTGTTTGTGTATTTATTAAAAGAAATTTAGAAATTGTAGAAAAAATAAAAAATATTTTTAAGATTATAATTAAGTTTTGAATAAAATTAACCTTAAAAATAATTTGTGTTTAAACAGTCAATATGTTTATAGAAATATAAATAGTATACTTTATAAAAATACAAATGATAAAACATGCACAAAAATAGAGTAGGCTTTATGAAAGTATAAATGATTTGCATAAATATATAAAGTTGACTTGTTAAAATACAGATGTGTATAAACATACTGATATAATGTGTGTTGTTAAACTCGTTTAATCAATGCATTAATAAACTCTTTCAATATGTATTATTAGACTCGTCTAATCAATATATGGACACACTCGTCCAATATGTATTGTTAGATTCGTCTTATTAATATATGGACTAATTTGTGTAATGTATGTTGCAAGAGTCGTCTAATCATATAATGGATAAAGTCATATAATGTGTATTAATAAATTCATCTAATATTTGAATGAACAAGCTCGTCTAAAATATATTGTTAGACTGGTTTAATCAGTGTACAAACAAACTAGTTTAACGTGTGTTGCAATATTCGTTTAATCAATGTGTGAACATACTTATTTAATATGTATTCTTAAACTTGTATAATCAATATGTAGAATGACTCATCTAATATTTCTTGCTATACTCATTCCATCGATATAGGGCAGACTTGTTTAATGTATATTACTACACCTGTATAATATGTTTTGCTATACTCATTTACTTAATGTATAAAAAGACTCGTCTAATGTGTATTTCAAAATTAATCTAATAAGTGAATAATCAAACTTATCTAACGTATGTGAAAATATTTGTCTAATATATATTGCTAGAATCCTCTAACCAATATATGAATGAATCGTGTAATGTGTATTGTTGGATTCGTTTAATCAATATATCAAACAACTTATCTAATTATTTTTCGATGTAATATACATTATATGTATATTGTTAAACGTGTCTAATCAGTACAATTCATTGGTTGAAGTAGAAAATCTCGTTTCAACAATTTCTGATATTCAAACAAATAACAAAGGAGTCAAAATCATTAGAAAAAGAATAAAAACTCTAAAATGCAGAGTTTTGAGGAGGCTGTGCTTTCTAAATAATGAAAGTAATTAACTGAAAACTTTATTTATTTATACTTATAACTTTTATTATTAAAATAATTTATTCTCAATATTTAAAACACTTCGTTATATATAAAAAATACTATTTTCTATTATAATAAATTAAAATATATTTTTTTATAAACTAACACTTTAGAGAGGGAGAAAATTCATCTTTCAATTTCACATATCAAGATTTTTTTTTCTCATGTTTTAAAAAATATTTTATACCCTATTTTCTTTAACACGCTGAGAAGCATTTTCCTCAATCATTTCAAATAATCTTAAAGTTATCTTTACTTATGTATTTCTTGTTGATAGTTTCCATTTTTAATATACCTTTTTAGTCACTAAATTTAAATTGAATGTCAATACTTTTTTAAAAATAGATCTACAGTGCTATATCATAATTAAAAAATTTCTGCTAAAATTTAATGTATATATATTCAAATGAATTTACTTATGATAATTTATTGTAATTGATAATATTTAAAGATACCTGTTATGAGTTTGATGATATAAAATAAATTGTCATGAGGCACATACTAAAATATTTTCTTTTAAAAGTGAGTACTTTCATTACTAATGCAGAACAACAAAGTATCTTTTTAGTCATTAAGTTTAATGTTGGTAGACCCCATACGTTGCATAACTTTAGCTTGTCTAATGGATATTTTACAAGTGTCTCTTCAGGACAATGGGCAGCTACCACTTAATTTTGATTTCGTTTTCTTTCATCGTTCTCACTATTGTTTTTTTCTTCTTCAGGTTATCAGGTTTATTTATTTTTTTATCATTTTTTTCTCCTTTTAGATTTTATTCTGGATTCGCTGATGCTTTATGGTCTAATTTCAAGTATTTATTCTACCTTCTTATATTACTATTTATTTTTTATATATATATATACTTTTTGAAATTGCTAACTAACATATTATTCTAACTTCATCTGTTTACTAGTTAGCTCGAGTGATAAGAAACATNGTAGCTACACTATACATACGAGTATTTCTACCGATATCCAATAAATTTTGACTATTCATTTTGGGAACAATTTTTTCCAATGTGTCTCGAAATATAGAAACTATCTTGAAAATTTCATTCCGAAATGAATGAGACATCCCAAGAAATTTATTCAGTATATGAAGAAATTTATTACCCAGCCCCTTTCTTTTGGCATTGTATTCAGTAATAAATTTACAGGTAACTAGTTACTTCCAATTCCAATTTTGGACCACTTTGCCTAACCTTCCAGTGAAATTTCGTATAAGGTTGCATCTAATACACAAACTTCAGGCAATACTTTATAATCTAATTCTTTCATATATATTATCTATCCTTCTGGGACAGGAAAACATGCGTGTAGTTATTGGGAACGCCATTAAGCTTAATCAGTGTTGGAAAGAGGATTTCGGCATGTTATCATAGTATCTCATCTTAGTATAGCAGGAGTTTAGCACCATTTGGTTTATGTTTTGGATAAATAACATACATTCACCAAGTACATTACAGAGGTCAGATACAGAAGAAAAAACTCACTGTATTTGTTTTTTACAGTTTTTAGTTGCATTGACAATGCAATCAACAAACAATCAGAAAGAAAGATAATCCTATTATGCACCTAAAAGAAGATGCGGGAAGCAGTGCAGTACTAGCATTCACTACACATTGCTCTGTTTGTAAAACTTGGTGTCAAGAACTTGCTTGCCACACATCGCACAGACTCCTGCCATACAAAAAACATCAACAATTGAGTCATGCACTTTCATATTTAAGGCACGCTGTACCGAAAGGGAAAAAATAAAATGCAAGGTAGCAAGAGCAAAAACATCTCAACATGGGAATATCACCTTTAGAGTAAGCACAGGTGTGGCAGTACTTGGCATCCTGATGCACTTGCTGCTTGCATATGATGCACTTGGTATTTCCGTAAGGGGTCCATCTGCAAGAAATTAATTTAAGAATAAGTGCACTCTTCACAGATTATTAATGATTGAAACATGCATGGTGGAACAACTATCAAGGTCACAAAAGGAGAAAAAAGAACATGTGAAGGTATAATAGAATATTAAATAAAAATTTAAAGATGGTATAAAGAACCATCGACAAGCACAAGATTTGCATATACAGATTTACGAAAAGGCAATGCTCCTCACTCAAGCATACTTGCTCGTTTACTTTGGATGGAACTGGCTTTATACCAAAACGTAAGTCATTCTAGACTCCAAACAAGGAAAGCTTTTGGACAGCTATTAAGCCATGAAAAACAAGAACCATACTTATAATCATTATCAATTGATATGAAGTTCACATTTAAAAAATAGTACTTATAGTGTAGAGCATCCTTTACAAGTCCAATACTAAGCTTGCACACATGATAACACCGATTCAGAATATATAGCAGTTTTGGAGCTTGAGACAGCTATATTAAAAATATTTCCCAATAGCCTCATAAATCAAAATACAAATATACAGTTTTAACTTTTAAATATATGAATATCATATGACTAAAAACATGAAGTCCGAAACAAAACTAAATTGTAGGGAGTAGCTATAAGATCGAAAGTAATCAGGGTTGAAGGTGAAGTATGAAAGGATGGCACACATAAAAAAGTATGAAATAGAATGAATTGTAATAACACAGATGTAATTGTGTTCAAAATTCGTTAATTACAGAATCACGTCCGAGGGATAGTGAGAAAGTGATTAACTTTGTTACTAAAAATACTTGTTCAAAATAGCCGACTAGTTCCCTATGGCTAACTACCGCCTGATAGAATTAGGTTTCTTTCTCGACTCATACAATACAACCATTAGTACAAATCTACACGTAAATATGCATTGCCTAAAAGAAAATGAAAAAGGAATAATTAGGGTTTAGAACTTGCTTTGCCACACGTCGCACAGACAATTGTGCAGAAAATCTTGGCACCAATACCTCCATGTAAGGTCGCAATTATGCGTGGCCTCCCATTGCGATGTATACAATTTACTAACACAAATTTAAAATCCTCACATTCAAGGGTAAATCTCATCCTACAAGGTCAACCCATCAAATCCTTAGAAGATTGCTCCCCCAAAAAGGAAGTGCTATGCACCACAAATGAAATATAGTAGCATAATACAATTGAGCTCAGATGACAATACAGGATAGCATCAAAAAAATTCCTCATTCATCAACAAATTTATTACATTAAGCAGAGTCAAGTAAAATATATTAACATGTTATCAGCTAACGAACGAATATACATAGGCAAAAGCTAAGTCATGGTTCTTATGCCCAGTTCTAAAATTAATAAAAAGAAAAAAGTGAAACACTAACAAAATGAAATATTAAAGATTATCGAATACCTATCTTTTTTGGAGAGAAGCTTATTCTCGTTGATCTTGCGGCCACCACCCTCCGTAGTGTTGCTGGCCCCTTCTTTCCATTGTCTGGTACTATTACCTTGTTAATTTCTTCTCACCTGCAATCCAAATTCCAATTCAAATTCAAATTCGATTGAAACTTCAAAACAATTAAAATTTGACAGAGAGGATGGAGAGGAAAGTAGGTGTCGAAGAACCGGAGATAAACTTACACTTCTCACAGACCATAGTTGTCGTTAATGTCTAATTGGATTCAGAATTTTGAGATTCGATAATCAAAGTTGGGATTGCTCACAACATCTAAACCCTATGCCCCCTTTTCTCTCAGTTTTTCCAAAGACTTGCTCCCCCTAATACACTTCTGGAAAGATTCCACTTTTTCAACCGTATTTGACAAAATTACCCTTTTTTTAAAAAATAACTCAAATCCAATTAAAAATCTTAAAGTTTCGTTATATATGAGTAAGACCTTATATAATTTAATTATGAATATGAGAAAAAAAATAGAATTATAAATATGACAGAAATTATATAAAAATATATAATAACAATTTTTGTTATCTAATCATTTTTCATTTTTTTTATGTTCAAAATTTTTAACAATTTTTAATAAGGAAAATTGACGCAAACTCTACTGCTTTAAAGATCAAACCAATTTAGTTTGAATTTTATATTAAATTAAACTAAACTTAGCTAAGTTATATTTATTTTTTAATGTTTGGTTCAAATAAATTTTGTATAAAAGATCGAATTAAATTAAGCCACAAACAAGTTGTGGATTATGTTAAAAAATATATTTCTTTTATGGTACCAGTATTAAATAATTGCACACATTTAATAAGAATTCTTTCTGTTTTCATCACTAATATGATGTGAAAACACAAGCTCTTATTGAATATATATGTAAAAAAAGTTTATATTCCACAATACATATTAAAAGTTATCGATTATCACTGATAACTTTTAAAATATTTTAAGATAACTTTTTATTTATCAATTTGCTAAAGTTATAAGCATTAGTCAGTAAAATCTTTATTTATTTTTTCTTAAAATTAAACTCTTAAAGTCAACTGTTTTCATAAAGTTATTAATGGAATACGAGTATTAAAAATAAATCAATAATAAAAATGAATCAATTTAAATATAAATAAGATGTTATATGTTAACTATTTATAGTATTATTAACTTAATATTTATCCTGAAAAAAAAAAACACAAATGAATAAAAAATAATATCAAATAAAAAGTTACCATGATAACTAAATAAACAAATAAGTTTGTACAGAAATTTTTAACATGTAAATTTATCAGTAAAGTTTAATATTCAAGTGTGTTTATTTCTCATCACCGTTTGTTAATAATGGGTAGAGATTTTTGTGGTTTAATTGCAGTTGACGCATTTCACCGACACTTGAAAAGGAAGGAAGAATGAAAAAATGTTTGAACATAAAATTGGCAACTTTAAAAGCTTACAAATAAAAGCTGCACATGAATTATTCCAGTGGTAACTAAAAAATTGAAGAGGCAGAAAATAGAGAATTAAAAGAATAAGGGTATATATTAATCCCATGGACTCAATGAACACTCCTCTGGTGCAGTTGGATAACGTTGAGAATCGTTGCAGTAGTCATAGATGACAAGGTTCCTCTGAACCCAAGCATAATCCATTTTCTGATCACCAGAGAGGTGCCAAGCATCATACTGATCCCACCAATTTTTTGTTGTGGTTGAGACACATGCAGGGTATGGATCTTCCCATTGGCAACCATCCACACTGAAGTCCTTGTAGGATGACACAAATGGTGCTAATTTCCAGTTTGTCTTCTCGAGCCCACCTCGTGTGGCCCACTCGTCTGCATTCCATATGCTTGAGAATAAGTACATGGGTTTCTCATTAGGGAAGAAATTGTTTGCTTCCCCATTGTTCTTGAACACCCTCACAGGAACTCTATCCACAAAAAACCTGATCACAATCATTGCATCTTTCACTCAACAATATTTAAATTCAGTAAAAAAATCCATATATTATTGGTTTTTAGTTACGTTTGAAACATTATAAGATTGAACTTACACTATCTGATGGTTGTTCCAGAGGACGGAATAGGTGTGGTAGTCCTCAGTTGGATCAAACCATAGCATATGCCTCATCTCACGCCCACCAGTCCCATTCTTGTACACGTTTGTCTGAATCAAATAAGGCTCCCCAGTTCTGTTTCCCAGAAACTCAAAATCAAGCTCATCTCTTTCTGGCCCTGCACCGTTTTCTGAGCACATCTGCAACGTTCCCCACTCGTGAATAACACTTGGATAGATATTGATATTATTCTCTGGTCACAGAATTGATGTTTTATTCACATAATTTGTAAGATGAAGATCTTTTCAAAGATTGATACAAGTTACTCAGATGATACTTTAGTTAGTTCTAATCAGTGACAATTGGAAAAACAACTTGGCCGCTAACTTTTGTCTATAATGCCTTGTACACTTACATAATATGCTGTCACAACACCGGCAGAGTCACCTGCGACCAGCTTCAGCTTCATACTGAACCACCCAAATCTGTAGCGCTGTTTTGTTTGAAATCCACATCCTGTCAAACATTGAATGCTTGAGAAACAGCTCAAATATCAAATTTGATGCTAACAGTTCGAATTCTCCTCATCAAATCATAGTATATACAATGCAGGTTGAACAGAGTGCATATTTCAAGGTCATGCATTTGGTACCTGTATCTTTGTCTAGGGAGAGATACCAGATCTGTCCATCTTTAGAGGTAGTAAAATGGTCCTCAGACCACATTATGCTGAAATTATCCTCGAAAGATCCCTTGGACACAGCTGCTTCTGATGAATGAAAATGAGCAACAACGATTGCTGCAAGGAAAATTATCATGGACACTGAAAAACAGGTCCTTGAATCCATTCTGAGTGAGAAGAGAATACGGACAATCAGAAGAGAGGGTTTCCCAGTTAGATCTCAAAACCCGAGAAGGGGCACTTCATTCAATGACTGTGACTTTTAAAATGGTTTTTGCACTTCCAGTTGTAACATCATATGCTGTTGTTCTTCCCTGCTTAGATTTATGCTGAGATTTCTTGGTTTGTTTAATTATATCGCATGTGCCAATGTCCAATTGTACAAATTTACCCTTTTTGAATAACAAGATGCCCAGTGTCCTAGATATCTTAACATAAAAATTATAAAGAATTAGTAAGTAGGTATATGATTTGATAGAAATTATGAAAAAGTGTAGTAAACATTAGAATGAAAATATATATATATATATATATATATATATATATATATATATATATATATCATTGTCGAGTGAGAAAATAAAATATTGTGAGTGCATTAGTAAAGTGTAAAAAGAAATTTGTAGATGAAATTTGAGAAAGAATTGAGGAGGCAGGGGCATATTGGTGAAAAAGAAATAGAAATGTGGGAGTGGGACCTTAGCCAGGCTGCATTTGCAAATTGCAATGTTAGTCTGTGTTGGAGGTAGCTAGCTGTAGAATAATAAAACTCAGTGGGGCCAGGCATTGCATGTAACAACATCTTTCTATTAAGTGGAAACAGCCACAACACCGCCACTACCCTTTCCATTCATTTATTATATTTTTACTTTAAACTTTACTTTACGTATTCATGGTCAAATGTAACATCCTTCATCTCACCTCTTTTTTCTTTGCAACTATTAGCTTCAATAAATCATTTGATGTGTTTAGTTTATATAATTTTTAATCTTTTATAATATCCTTATAGAGCCGTTTTTTTAATTTTTTTCCCACGATTATTTCACTTTTTAATCCTTTTTTCACTGCATTTTCACAAACTGAACAAAATGTGAGTTTAATATTCTCATCACAACTTAACACAGTTTCCATGTTTAGACCAACACCATTATTATAGTTTCCAAGTAATCAGAACATCTCTTTTATTTTTAATTTTGATAGAACATATACATCATATTGCCAACAAATATCAAGAGCTATAATTTTTGTTTCTTTATAAGCAGCGCAATATTATATATATATATATATATATATATATTATAAAGAATATATATATATAATATAGATAATAATATTATTTATTGTAAATTTGAGAATTAGGATTGATATACAAAGTAGCTTATTTCTTAATCCATTAAAGAGTTATATCACTTCAAAAATATTCAAAAAATAACAAGGACGTGTGTGAGATTTTAGAGATTTGATATAGATAAGATATATATATATATATATATATAGTATATTAATATATTTTATATAAGAATTTTTTGACACAAATTTACTTTAGTTTTAAAATAACATTAATTTAAAACATCAAAAGACAGTTTGGCCGAGTGGTCTAAGGCGCCAGATTTTAGGCTCTGGTCCGAAAGGGCGTGGGTTCAAATCCCACAGCTGTCACATTTTTTTTTCTTTTTTCAATTTTATATTTTATTGCATCCAAGCCCAATTTAAGAGCCCAATTGTCAGTGTCACTGGATTCATTTCAGATTATTTATTCCTTCACCCCCTGATTTCTCCATGCACCTCCGTTTCATTTATTGCAACTTGGTTTTGATAGACTTAGGTAGGGAAAGTTATATTATTTTGGAAAATGACTCAAAATTTTTTTAACTTGTCTATACCTATTATATATATATGTGTGTTTAATTTCTCTTTTTTCTTTTATCATATTACATGACTTACAAATGTATTACTTTTTCTTTAAATATATATTAGCTTTAAATTGTGTTTACATTGATGTTTGTTTGTGTATTTATTAAAAGAAATTTAGAAATTGTAGAAAAAATAAAAAATATTTTTAAGATTATAATTAAGTTTTGAATAAAATTAACCTTAAAAATAATTTGTGTTTAAACAGTCAATGTGTTTATAGAAATATAAATAGTATACTTTATAAAAATACAAATGATAAAACATGCACAAAAATAGAGTAGGCTTTATGAAAGTATAAATGATTTGCATAAATATATAAAGTTGACTTGTTAAAATACAGATGTGTATAAACATACTGATATAATGTGTGTTGTTATACTCGTTTAATCAATGCATTAATAAACTCTTTCAATATGTATTATTAGACTCGTCTAATCAATATATGGACACACTCGTCCAATATGTATTGTTAGATTCGTCTTATTAATATATGGACTAATTTGTGTAATGTATGTTGCAAGAGTCGTCTAATCATATAATGGATAAAGTCATATAATGTGTATTAATAAATTCATCTAATATTTGAATGAACAAGCTCGTCTAAAATATATTGTTAGACTGGTTTAATCAGTGTACAAACAAACTTGTTTAACGTGTGTTGCAATATTCGTTTAATCAATGTGTGAACATACTTATTTAATATGTATTCTTAAACTTGTATAATCAATATGTAGAATGACTCATCTAATATTTCTTGCTATACTCATTCCATCGATATAGGGCAGACTTGTTTAATGTATATTACTACACCTGTATAATATGTTTTGCTATACTCATTTACTTAATGTATAAAAAGACTCGTCTAATGTGTATTTCAAAATTAATCTAATAAGTGAATAATCAAACTTATCTAACGTATGTGAAAATATTTGTCTAATATATATTGCTAGAATCCTCTAACCAATATATGAATGAATCGTGTAATGTGTATTGTTGGATTCGTTTAATCAATATATCAAACAACTTATCTAATTATTTTTCGATGTAATATACATTATATGTATATTGTTAAACGTGTCTAATCAGTACAATTCATTGGTTGAAGTAGAAAATCTCGTTTCAACAATTTCTGATATTCAAACAAATAACAAAAGGAGTCAAAATCATTAGAAAAAGAATAAAAACTCTAAAATGCAGAGTTTTGAGGAGGCTGTGCTTTCTAAATAATGAAAGTAATTAACTGAAAACTTTATTTATTTATACTTATAACTTTTATTATTAAAATAATTTATTCTCAATATTTAAAACACTTCGTTATATATAAAAAATACTATTTTCTATTATAATAAATTAAAATATATTTTTTTATAAACTAACACTTTAGAGAGGGAGAAAATTCATCTTTCAATTTCACATATCAAGATTTTTTTTTCTCATGTTTTAAAACATATTTTATACCCTATTTTCTTTAACACGCTGAGAAGCATTTTCCTCAATCATTTCAAATAATCTTAAAGTTATCTTTACTTATGTATTTCTTGTTGATAGTTTCCATTTTTAATATACCTTTTTAGTCACTAAATTTAAATTGAATGTCAATACTTTTTTAAAAATAGATCTACAGTGCTATATCATAATTAAAAAATTTCTGCTAAAATTTAATGTATATATATTCAAATGAATTTACTTATGATAATTTATTGTAATTGATAATATTTAAAGATACCTGTTATGAGTTTGATGATATAAAATAAATTGTCATGAGGCACATACTAAAATATTTTCTTTTAAAAGTGAGTACTTTCATTACTAATGCAGAACAACAAAGTATCTTTTTAGTCATTAAGTTTAATGTTGGTAGACCCCATACGTTGCATAACTTTAGCTTGTCTAATGGATATTTTACAAGTGTCTCTTCAGGACAATGGGCAGCTACCACTTAATTTTGATTTCGTTTTCTTTCATCGTTCTCACTATTGTTTTTTTCTTCTTCAGGTTATCAGGTTTATTTATTTTTTTATCATTTTTTTCTCCTTTTAGATTTTATTCTGGATTCGCTGATGCTTTATGGTCTAATTTCAAGTATTTATTCTACCTTCTTATATTACTATTTATTTTTTATATATATATATACTTTTTGAAATTGCTAACTAACATATTATTCTAACTTCATCTGTTTACTAGTTAGCTCGAGTGATAAGAAACATAAAAAGAAACCCATTTGTTAAAAAATTGACAATGAAGGAACAAACGCTAAAAGGCATTTGTTAAGCAAAATGTTAAAATAAAATAATAATATACTTTATATTGTGATAATAAAAATGTTAAAATATCATGATTCTTTTAGAAAAAAATCAAAGGCATATATGGGGCAGAGGAAGTCCATGAGTGGGACGAGGAAACGCTTTTGGAAATGGTGAAGCAACATGGATTAGTGGCATATAAGTTTAATAAATTGTGAATGAATGAAATTAAAAATAACTTAAATGATTTATAAAGAGAAGACAAGTGATGCAACTGGTTGGTAATGATAAACCATGGATTTTGGTGCTGAAGTCACTTTACATGAAAATATCCCAAACGGAACCTCCTGCGCCTTTCAAATTCTATCTCCTTCCATTAAAAAGCATATAGTTTCTAGATTTTTGAATCAGATATTTCAGCCATGGCCAACCCCATCACTCTTCGTTTTCTTTATAAAGGCCCACTCCACTGCACGGACAAATATCAAGTCTTCAACTTTTCTTCACTATCCATCTAATTCTCATGGCAGCCATGGCAACCACAACCCTAACTTCAAATCCCAAACTCTCATTCTTCGACCACAAGCCCACCTCCTTCCATGGAAAGCCCGTTTCTCAGTCCCGTCTCACACCCACAAAATGCTCCACCAAACAACCCGCAATCTCCATGTCCCTAACTACACCCCCTTACGACTTCCAATCTTTTAAGTTCCAACCCATCAAAGAATCCATCGTCGCACGCGAAATGACGCGCCGATACATGACCGACATGATAACCTACGCCGACACCGACGTCGTGGTCGTGGGGGCGGGCTCCGCGGGCCTCTCCTGCGCGTACGAGCTGAGCAAGAACCCGGCCGTGCAAGTCGCGATAATCGAGCAGTCAGTGAGCCCCGGCGGCGGCGCATGGCTCGGCGGGCAGCTCTTCTCCGCCATGGTGGTGCGCAAGCCCGCCCACCTCTTTCTGGACGAGCTCGGCGTGGCCTACGACGAGCAGGAGGACTACGTGGTGATCAAGCACGCGGCGCTGTTCACCTCCACCATCATGAGCAAGCTCCTGGCACGGCCCAACGTGAAGCTCTTCAACGCCGTGGCGGCGGAGGACTTGATCGTGAAAGAAGGGAGGGTTGCCGGAGTGGTGACGAACTGGGCTCT